CATATCATGACTATGGGTTTGGTAAATGGAGTGTCAAAACTGCTTTCTGAATGGAAACCTTGAGGAGGATGTGTATATGACACAAACCTGATGGTTTCGTTCTTGATAGTCAAGCTAATAAGGTATGCAAGTTGCAGAGACCATTTATAGACTCAAGCAAGTTCAAGGAGCTGGAACTTCGTTTTGATGAAGCCATAAAAGAATTTGTTTATCAAGAACGAAGATGAACCCTGTGTTTACAAGAAAGTGAGTGGGAGCGCAGTAGCATTCCTAGTGTTGTATATGACAACAATAGATCGAATGATATACGAACGATTGCGATCGCGTAAAGACTTGGTTATCCAAGTGTCTCCATGAAGGACTTAGGGGAAACAGCTACATCCTTGGAATAAAGATCTATCGTGATAGATCGTGTAGGGTGCTCAAACTAAGTCAAAGTACATAGACAAGGTACTGAACACATTCAGTATAGAAAAATCCAAGAAGGGATTTCTTCTGATGGCATATGGTGTCTATCTCTGTAGAGATATGTGTCAACCACACAATGGAGAGATAGATAGAATGAAGAGGATCCAATGCTTTAGCAAGTGGATCATCTTATATGTTCAGATGTAATCTAATGTGCATTCAGCATTTGTATGGATGTCAATCAGGCTCAAGTGAGCAATAGTTATATACTTAGATGATGTCTTAGTGCATTCAGCACTAGTAGAAGATATCAACTAAATCCAAGTGAATGACACTGGGGTGAGGTAATGGACATTCTTAAGTGCTTGAAAAGGTTAAGAAATATATATTCTTGGACTATGGAAGAAAGATGAGCTCACTGTAAGAGAATACCGTGACGCTATTTCCAAAAAGGAAAGGAAGAATGGATGATTATAGTCGCAATTTGGGATTACACATTTTCTCAATATAACTGCAGTGAGCGCAAGAGCTCAAATTGGTGTACTGCAGTGGATCTACAATTGATGCTAAGTGTACCGCATTTTAATGCAGCCGTGTAGGCGGTTTGGATCAAGAAGTTCATTACTGAACTTGATGTGATTTCAAGCATTGCTAATCCAGTATAGTTGTACTGCGATAACAATGGAGCCATTGTTGTGGCTGAGCAATCACGGTCTCACCAGAAATCCAAACACTACTTTAGTTGATTAATCTTATCTGAAGGATCGATATGAAAGGGAAGTTGCAGATTTGCAGAATACCTACCAACCCACTATTAAAGTTTCTATTGAAGCAGAAGCATGATGGGCACTTGGATCATTCAATGTGAGTGCATGAATGACTGGCTATAGTGCAGGCACTTGTGTCATTCAGTGTTGAGGGCATGAATGATTGGCTATAGTGCAAAGGGGAGATGTTTTAGAGTAGATGCCCTAGAGCCAATCAATTATTGTAGAATTGACTCTTTGTAATAATGTTCATTAATCAATAAAAGGCTTTTTATTCTATATCGCGTAAACCATTATTATTGCAATATGTATTGATATATGTCCTTAGAATGGTAGAGCTCGTGACGAGGGTATCAAGTGTCAAATCTTGATAGTGAGAACTATGAGCACATATGGTGGCCATTCTAGAAACGTCCGTAGCCCAGTATTTCTGAACTAAGGGCACAGATAATACGGTAAGGCTATCATAGTGTTGAACGACCCTGTCGAAAGGCAGTGACTGATCTCACTTGTCAAGGTTGTTTGATGACAACCTGGTGCAACACATGGGTGTTTGTTGTAGGCGATTACACCACAGCAAGTTCACTGGACTGACCCACCGAGATTCCATATGGATGTAACCCCAGTGTCTATGGAACAAATCCTCTAACGAATGGTGGTGCATGTGATCCTTAGACTTGAGATCACCAGAGCGCCTTGTGCACCGATTGGTGTAGTTTGACACTAGCCTAACCAGTTCTTTTAGAGCTGTCAATACGGTGGTGATTGGCTGCATCAAGGAGTGTATCAAGACTATGGTGGATTGACAGAGGATTCATCACTCCCGGGTATGGAGAAAGTTATCTCACGGCGCAATTCAGTATATGGCAATGACACTAAAAACTGTGGCCACGTGGGATTGAGTTGTTGCTCTATCCAGTTATAAATCGCGTCATAGTCCAGAAACTGAATAAATAATATCGAGAGTAACCGAAGGTTGACATATTTCTATGCCTTCGTCTCGTGAGATAACGTATGATGAAAGGATCGAATTGCACGGTAACCATATCGTTGACAGGTAGCTACTTGCTGAATCCGAATCTATCGGGTGGCCATGATGCCTTGCTAGGGGCAATCTGGTCTGTGTATTAGTGAGACGATTAATTGGGGTTAATCGCAATACTGTCACTGCCGATATGATGAGGAGCTAAGGGTCACACACATAGAAGACAATTTAAGATGCAAGAAGAAGAAGGGCGTTTCGTCTTTTAAGGCGAAAGGGTATTTTGGTAATTTCACAGTGCAATTAAATTTGCTGAGGTCGTAGCTTTATTTAATTTGTTAGAAAAATTAAATAAGTGAAATTACGTTTAAATGTGTGTTCGCACATATTTAAATATATTATCATTATTGTTAAATGTTAATATATATTAATATATATATTAATTGATTTTAATTGAGATATATGATGAAAATTAAAATAAATCAAATTGGGAGTGTTTGGCAAATGGGGCGTTTGGGTTGGAGCCCAAGCCTATTCCGTATGGATTAGGCAAATTGTTTTAAATATAAAAAGAAAAGTGTGTGTGTAATTGAATTAATGATTTTTCTTGTTAAAACACAAAACACACGCCGCCCCCTTTTGAATACACTCCCACGCAGATTGATTAGTTTTTGGAATCATTTCATTGATTCTTCTTTTCTTCTATCTGATGAGCCAAAGAGGATCTAGCAAATCCCTCTTTGGTTCTTTTTTAAGATTGTCTTCGTGTGGACTACGCAGGTTCGATCCTACACTTGGATCGGTAGCAAAACGTTCGACGACAAATTTGGAGGAGCCTTCAACGTGCGTTTGTTTCTCTTAACTCATGTTGAATATTTATGCAGATTTTAATTTAATATAAATTGTAAAATCATACCCTTGATCTTGGCTCACGTAAACGATCCTGAGTTATATTAATTTTTCGTTTCCGCTGCGTATACGGGACCGTTTACTAACAAAAAGTCTAATTGATGAACATATGGAAGCATTGGAAACAAGATCGATAGGGCTATAATTTGATATATTATATGGTACCTTTGATATGGAATCTGTCGTGTTGTTGAACCATTTATCTGAATAAGTTAATAATAATTGAAGTTATGACAGTTAGTAGTAAATTGGCCATAACTTGTTCAATAAAAATCCAATTGATGAACAGATTGAAGCATTGAAAACTAGACAGACTGAGCTTTAATTTGATAGATTATATACTACCTTTGATATGGAATCTACCATCCTACCGAGCCGTTTATCAGAATAAGTTAATAATAATTGAGGTTATGACAGTCAGTAGTAAATTAACTATAACTTACTCAATAAAAGTCCAATTGATGAACAGATTGAAGCATTAGAAACTAGACAGATAGGGTTTTAATTTGATATATTGTATGCTAAATTTGGATACCTTTAGACCCTTCACATTTTGGTTGAAAAGATATGATATCAAATGATGGCATCCCAATGGCCTACTTAAACCTTTGTTTGTTAAAAATAAGATCTATAGATTCATGTTTGTCCCTTCATATTCATATAAATACAAACATTTCACATTAAATATCTTTCTATATTTATTTTATATGATAACATTCCATGATGACATCGTCGGTCGCCTATTGCCGCATTATATTACTTGGTTTCAACAATACGGTTGGTCTCAATAATTCGGTAAGCATATCTCTTTACAATGCTAATATCAAAATCAATTAATTTTTGTTGCTGTTGTTCATAGGGAAAGATTCATGTATTGGAATGGATTCAACAATTCGGTAAGCTTATCTTTTCACAATGTTAATATTAATCATACTATTTAAGATTACTTATTTGGATTAAATTGGTATACGTTGAATCTTGTGTAATTATTTAAATATATCTTTCACACATATAATATTTATATCAAATAGCTATTCTTAATTTCTTAATTATTTATTGCTTGAATTATTAATTCAACAATAAATTAACTTTAATACAAACCGTTCACATTCACATAAATACTATCACAAATATTCTCTAATATATTATTTTTGTTAGTCTTAGGATACTCTTTATATTGTGCAATCTCCTAATTGTGTAATATTTAACTAATATAATTAGGAGATTTAATAAATCGTTTTCTACCTATATAATGCCTGTAACTCTGTAGTAGATATCAACCAATTAAAACATCAAATTCTTCAAATAAACATGTATCAAAGTCACCTTCATAAACAATTCTATATATATAAACAATAGTACCTGAAATACTAGCAATAAACTTACCCGCGCAACGCGCAGGCCTTCCACCTAGTTTTATGACATAATCCGAGAGATAATTATTCACCATCTTCTGTTTGATCCTACTCTTTTAAAAGATATTTATAATTATTGAGAATATATATTAATGTGAGAGATACTCAGAATGTTCCCTTGTCTTGTAATTACCATTTTTCCTTGTCTAAGTTTTGATACTTCTTTTTAAAGAATTTAGATCAAGAGTAAAAACATTGTTTCAATAGGTAATAGAGTTTTATGAACGGATCTAAAAAGGAATGGGGGGCTAGGGCGTCCTTCCAAAATCAGTGGGGGCTGACGACGTGCTTTTAAAAATTGAAACACACAGGACACAGGGGTTTTAAAAATTATCCCGGCAGGATATTTTTATAAAAATAAAACAAAAAAAGCGAAATTATCTAGAAGATATTTAAAGCAAGTATTAAAATAAAAAAAACTGGGTCCCAGAAATGAACGGCTTTAAAATCCATCGTAAATCTACCACGTAACTTTAGCAGAATACGTGGCAAATGATTTGACCCTATAAACAGAAGAGTTGTCTTCTACTACAAACCTTTCGTCCTAGGGATAGGGTTTGTTGTTTGTTTATCTTCCTAAAACAAAGATGATGCAGCCAACCCCAACGCCGCCGCCACCGCAGCAGATACCCCATCAGTATCAGTATCAACAACAGCCACCGCAACAGCCTCCTCCTTATATGATGATGATGCCACCTCAGCCCCAGCCTCAGCCTCAGCCTCAGCCTCAGCCTCCTCCTATGTGGGCTCCACCTCAGCAGGGCCAACAACAACAAGCGGCTCCACCCGGGGAGATCCGGACTCTGTGGATCGGGGACTTGCAGTATTGGATGGACGAGAACTATATCTCTTCCTGTTTCGCTCATTCAGGCGAGGTATGTTCTTTCATTTTAAACGACACCCTGTTTTTACTTGATCACTTGTTTATGTCGTTTCTTTTCCTAAGAAAAGCCCATAAATTTTCTTCACAGGTCAGCCTTAAGCATAATAAAATAAAGAGAAAAAAGTTTATAAAAATAATATATACAAAATTTAAGAGATTCATTCATAGTAATTTTGTATGATAAACTTATAATTTTTTCCAATGCATATTTATGTTAAATATTTCATGAATAAAAGGGCTAAGTTTCAAAACTGAATTGGGTTTAGGTCTATATAATATAATTCCTCTTTATTATCACTATTTTTACCTATTATTTAAGTTATATATCATTTACCTATTAATCTCTTATATAATTTAATAGATTTCTTAAAATGTTTATAAAAGTATTTATTAATTGTTAAAACAATTTAACATAGATATATTAGCCATATATGAATCAACAATTTTGGTATATCTTAAATTGTTCAAATGGTCTGTGAGATAAGGGAAACAAAACTAATTGGTAGTGGGATTAGCAGGTAACTGAAGAAACTTTAAAGGAAAGAGAACGCAATAAATGAAAAGAGTGGTGTCACCAGCCCTTGCTTGCTTCAATGTAGCTCCGTCCTTGGAGAAAGCTATACCACACAAACTTCATATAAGGCTCTACTACGATTTCATGTGAAACAAATAAGAAGAATATAAATTTTTTTTTATTCTATTAAAATTGGATTTTTGAGCTTGAATTTAAGAGGTTTTGACCCTGTTAAAATTGTGAGAGAAGACAATTTGTAAATATTGTGCTATTATGTACAATTCCAATTATGATAAGATGAAAAAGGATTGTGTTGTTGAATGTAGATATGAAGTTTGGAAAAACGTTTTTTTACGATTCAGTTAAGTTAAACAACTGCTTATAATAGGAGGGTGAGGGGTAGGTGCTATGGCTTGTATCCTATAACCGAACTGTGTTTCTCATTGCAGGTTGCTTCTGTAAAAGTAATCCGTAATAAGCAGACTGGTCAAGTAGAGGGTTATGGCTTTGTTGAGTTTGTTACCCGTGCTGCTGCTGAAAGAGTTTTGCAGACCTATAATGGTACCCCAATGCCAAATGGTGAGCAGAACTTCAGACTGAATTGGGCTTCATTTAGTGCTGGTGAGAGGCGTGATGAGACCCCTGATTTCACAATATTTGTTGGAGACTTGGCTGCCGATGTTACTGACTACATGCTTCAAGAGACCTTCAGGGGCCGCTATTCCAGTGTTAAGGGTGCCAAGGTTGTGATTGATAGGCTTACTGGACGCACCAAGGGTTATGGGTTTGTTAGGTTTGCTGATGAAAGTGAACAGTTACGAGCTATGACTGAGATGAATGGTGCCTTCTGTTCAACTAGGCCCATGCGAATTGGGCCGGCCACTAATAAGAAGACTTTGTCTGGTCAACAGCAGTATCCTAAAGGTGTGGTTATTGTATTTTAATCCATTGTCATAACCTTTTTATGCTACTATCCTCGATATTCTATTTGGTTGCTAGTTCACTACATTGATTGGATGCTAGTTCTTTATTTTTTTATTTTTAAGTTTAAAATATGAAGCGCACTTTGGTTTACTGTTTCCATTTTCATTGATCTTTACTCTGTGATGTTCACTAACTTTTAGTTGATACTTTGTGAGTTTGCTCATGTTTCTTAAAATTTATTACATGAGTTTGCTCATGTTCCTCAAGAGTTATTACATTGAGTTTGCTCCTGATAAATTGTCAGGTTGGTTATATTAGTCGCCAATTGTGGTTTGATGTGAAGTATACTTAACGTTGTTGTTAAGTTTGCTTTCTTTCAGTTATGTTCTTCAAATACGTAGCAGTTTCCAAGTCGTTTCGTTCTTGTACTTTCCTTTTAACATTTGGGCACATTAAATGTTATTAACTTCTCAAAACTTATAAAACTCCTGTTGTCTCAAAGCAGGGTGTCAAGAGGCTCTATCATCTTGGGGCCTGGAACTGATTTCAGCTGAAATGGTTATCCCTTTAGTTCGTGCCCTCACTTAGGTCAGTTTTTGTGTTTATGTCTTGTCCTTAATTTGAGATTTTTGTGGCATCTCTTATGCTACATTTTCAAAGCATCCTTTTTAGTTCATTTTATGGGTTGAGCTGTGAGTCAGTCTCGTTACTTTTTGTTTCTTCTCTCTTTACATGGAAGTTTTATCGTCCCAATAAAATTCTGGTTTATCTTTAAGGTTTTTCCTATTTTATTGTTTGGTCAAAAGTATCGTATTTCTAATTTCTTTTGCATTATTTCCCTTGGCCTTTTACATTTCACATAGTTTAGATTGTTTCCTCTGTTGTTGTCATGACGTGTGTATGATTTTTCGGATTGTTCCAGCCTTGTGTTTTAGAATTTATAGTTATGAGGGAAGACTCTTAGGTGTGGTAACTCGACTAATCTGCATAAAATTGCGTATGGCATGCTGGTTATTGTTGGGAAGATGACCATAAATTTCACTCTTGCAAATTTTGTGTTTAGTTTCTGATTGTCATTTATACTCCCTTTGCTTTCCTGATGTTTATTTTGACTTTCCCTTTATTTTCATTTTACTTTTGATAACCCTGATTGGTTAACCAATAGATGACTGCTGTTTTTCTTATATATTAAAAGATCAAATTTTGTTCTGTGGAGTTATTTAATTGTGTTAATGAGAGTATTCTGCTGCATATCTTCCCCAAACAGTGGGGCTATTGAATAAGGTGACAATTCCTTAGCAGCTAATTTTTGAGAAAATGTTCAATAACATGGTTTTTTTTTTTTTATAGAAATAACAGGTGGAATATAGGTTTCTTGATTTGTCATAACTGTGCTGTGTGATTTTAGTTTGGGCCTAAATATTTTAGTTTGTTAGTTAGACTCTACAATATTCAAGGAATCGCTCAAGCCTAATGACAGGAGCTCTGTTTTGCTTGACAAAGTTATGTAACTAACTTGTTCATTGTTTTTGCTTCAAAATAGTGTTGCTAGTGGATAAACTTTATTTCTTGTTCCCTAGTTTGTCACTTTGTCAGAGCATTTGATTTGGCTTTGAGCTTTTTTAATTTCAGAAATGAATATTCTTTGTTGCTTGTAATCATATTGTGCTAGTCCACGGTCATGGAAGAAGAGTTTTTTTCTTTCATGTAAAATGGAACTGTTGTCACTTACCTTCATTGACATTAGATCAATCATGTTGTCAGACTGCTTGATGAGGCCTACATTTTGATTGCTATCTTGTGAGGGGATGACTATGTAAAGGTGCATTGCTTAGTGTTTTTGCTAGAATACTAGTTTGACAATCATGTACATCTATTGTTGGCCTCTTATCAAAATTACTTATAGAGAAATTATTTTAATAGTTCTATAACAGTTACACTTTATTTGAAGCTCTTGTAACTGTTTGGTTCTGAATAATTGGTTTTGACTTTCATTTGGTTGTGTTCAGAACATGATACATATATTATCATATATCCAAATTTGCACATTTGCATCAATTCTTAAAAAATAAATTAATGAGCACTGGCATGACCTTATCTGTCATCAGATAGCACGATTTCTGTTTTTTCATATGTGCTCTATTTAATTAAGTCATGGGGCCTGAGGTTAGTAAGATCCTTGCATGTGTTATTATTTTTCACACGTATTTTTCCCTTTGTTTCACATCTGTTTCCCATATGCAGCTTCATATCAGAACTTTCAAGGGACTCAAAGTGATGACGATCCAAATAATACAACTGTGGGTATTTTTGTTATTTTCAATTTCAAAAATAACATATTTGTAACATATTTGTAACATATTTGTGACCTCACAAATTTCAATTCAGGTGTTTGTTGGTAATCTGGATTCTGTTGTGACGGACGACCATTTGAGAGAACTTTTCAGCCCATACGGGCAATTAGTACACGTGAAAATACCAGCAGGCAAGCGATGTGGGTTTGTTCAATTTGCTGACAGGTAAATTAACTTACCAAATTTCTTTCCTGGGATATTTTAAGAGAGACAAGAGCCCATATTAATGGTATACATTGTTTTTGTGATGATCAGAAGCTGTGCAGAGGAAGCTTTAAGAATGCTGAATGGAACTCAGTTGGGTGGGCAAAATATACGCCTTTCATGGGGACGCAGTCCTTCAAACAAACAGGTCATTTACTGAATCTGATATGTGGTTCTTGATACTTTTCATATTGGAATTTGCAATATGCCATGAATCTGACCTAATGTAGTGAGATTTCCCTTTATGCTCAGGCTCAGCCTGACCCAAACCAGTGGAGTGGTGGATACTATGGATATGCACAAGGTTATGAAAATTATGGATATGCTGCACCGCAAGACCCCAACCTGTACTATGGAGGTTATCCTGGATATGGAAATTATCAGCAGTCCCAGCAACAGCAGCAGCAGCAGCAGCAGCAGCAAGTAGGATACAGCTGAGAAGTTGTAACTTACGTGGCTACAATTTATTGTACTATTATGAGGTTGAATTGATGCTATTTTCTCCTGTCTGCCCTTTCTGGAGGAAACCAGTTCAGGCTTTAATGCGTGCTGCATGAACCTCCTCTCTCCTAAAATTTTGAGAGCACTTTATTTATAATATTTAGCTTTGTCCAAATGATGTTTTTTTATAATATAACTATTATGTTGTTTTTTCGGCTAATATTGGGCAACTTAGAAATTGGAGTGTATTGCTGATAGATATTTCGACAATGCGATCGTTGCCAGTTGTCGTAGCAATTTTTGCTGTGTCTTGTGGAGGTTGGTCTTGTGAAATATTCACAAGCAAAGCTGATATTCTGATTAATCATCATTAAACTATTAAAGTTAGTCAACTATTATCGACACATCTTGTTCCTTGAGCACTCAGTAAATTACATCTGTGTAAGAGACTCAGGCCACGGCCTTTGGCAACCATACCAGTGTGTATAACAACAATATTTGATTGCAGAATTAAGAGCCTTTCATCAAACGAAATTTCAAAGAACTCTTTCGGTCAGTGTTTCTATGTTATAAAATCTTCAATTCTGGGCTTCTTTACTTAGGTCAGTTATCTGTGATAGTGTTTATATGTTATAAAATCTTCAATTCTGGGCTTCTTTACTTAGGTCAGTTATCTGTGTTTTAGAACTCGAATGTTAAAAGCGATATTGAGAAAAACAAAAATCAATTTAGTTATTTGACTGAGCTTTTTTCGTGTTTTTGACAGGCGTCCATAGACTGGGAATGAAAATTTCAAATTTTATGCTAACATCGATAAGTAGTTGTGCATCAAACTCTCCAGCTAATCAAGAATGGCTACCTCACATGAAGTAGGGATGTGCCTGGGACTGGGCTCGTCCGGGTATATTTAAAAAATCCCAGCCTAGACATGAGAAAAACGGGTTTTAACACTCTGGCCGGGCCGAAAGCCTCAGGTTCAGTTGAACTAACAAGAGTCTATTTAAAGTTTTACTTGATATATGGGGGCTGGATGAAAATTTTTAGGGCCCTTTATAGTTTTACTTCATGAAAAGATTTTAGGGACTAAAAGATATTTATGAGTGTAATTCCACATGGCTAAGGATTGAATAGCCTAACCTCTTTTGAGATTCTATATTAAGCTAAAAACACAAGGTTGGATAGATGAACCTTCAGGTTAAGGTTAAAAAAATCGAAGGAGGTAACATCAAAGGTTTTGTTTAAACCCTAGAGATGATTCTTACTCTTTTAGAGTGAATGAAATGTGATGGTTGTCCCTCGTTTAATTGGGATTGGGGATGATAATATTTGGTGTTGTTCTTTTGGAATTAAATAAATATTAGGATATTACAATGAAAATTTGATTACAGTTGTAAAACAATAAAAGTACAAAAATTGTTGTAGTGAACCACTTGGTTTGTGGTTGGATGGCAGTTATCCAAAAGAGGTTTTGTGTTAGAGTCTTACTAAGTAATCATCTACCATATTTATGATTTATTTAGCCTAATCTATATTTTATGACGTATCTGACCTATTGGACTTGTAAGATATTCAATGAATTTTGAAGATAGTTGAGGTGTACATAACCTGGACCACACACCCATAGTTGTAGTGACCTAACATACTTTTTTTGGTGCAATTAAGGATGCGTCGCTGTTTTCCTTTTCCTGTTTCTACTACTAGTTTTAAGTTGTTGGTGAGCCAACCCACGACCTTTGTGTCTTTATTTTCCTGTTTCGATCATGAATTCTAAATTGTTGATAAGTTAACCCACGATCTTCTTACAAATAACGGACTCCAAGAAGAATCTTGTTGCAAACCTTGCGCAGCTATCATCAATCAAGGAAGACTAAAAGGAAAGCTTCGTGAAGTGGTTAGGTGTGAGAGTCAAAATCCAATAGGTTTGTGAAATTGAAGTGTTTGAGACAGTAAAAATAAAAGAATTTGAACCCAAGATGTGTTTAAGATCGAGGGTAAATGCTAAACCCGTTTGAAACCACTTTTGAAATAATGCAGAAAATCGATCTGTGTCTAGCTTAAGAAGCCAGATTAAGGTCTGCTGCGCAATAAAATCTGCAGTTATAAAGTTACGGGTTTCGTGATGTTCGTTTTGAAATATTTCATAAAAAACCATATCAGAGTAAAACATGATTTAAAGACAACAAAAGAATGACTTCAAGTAAATAAATAAATAAGGATTTTAATTCACGAAAATGTAGAATTTTTTTAGAATTCATATCGGAGTAAAACGACCATGCTTTTGAGTGGTACTCTTTTTGAAAAATTCGTCTTTGATTCATCTTTGGTGGGAATAGGTGAGGATCACGAAAGGAAGGCTAAAAAATATGATTTGACTTCCTCGCTGTTCTTATTTGTGCTCTGAAGACAGAAAAGGTTGTGATGTGTTTTGTTTGAAGTTTTCTCGCTACGAAAAATATAGTTGCCGGCTGGACGTGTTTGGAGGTGTTAAAGGGCTAATCTGTGAGGATAAAGGAGTTGTGGTGCTGTGAAAGGACGTTGTTTAAGAATGGAAATGAATTACGACTAGCGTGGGTGAAAGGATTTGCAGCAATAGTGTATGTATGAAGTCTCACGACCTTGCTTTCTCTTGGCTCTCAATAACAATGTTCTGAAACTCGACCCGGGGTGTCACCTGGCCAAAGGGTTGGGTTCCGGGTTGACTGGTTAAACCGGTTAAACCAGTGGTATCTGGAAAGCTTAAAATCTAGCAAACGTACTCATAAAAAATACATATTAGTCCCTATAGGTTTGAAATCTAGCAAATACACCCATACGACAGTTAGGTTTTTGCTTTTTGGCCAAATTTCGGCTGTCAAAATTCAATCCAACACATCAACCTAAACCATTAGCCTCTAATCTACAAAACTCCTCTGACCCTGGCACTTGGTAGCCCCCCGTTCGCTATTCGTGATTCATGTATACCTTAAGTTTTCTGGCCAAATTTCAGCTGATTCTAGCGGTAAATATTCAATCGGACACCACAACCTTAACCACCGGCCTCCACTATATAAAACTCCTCTAACCCTAACACTTGGTAGCCCCCCATTCGCCCGCTGTGACTTGTGCATACCTTGATTTTGTTGGCCAAATTCTGGTTGATTTTGGCATCTAAAATTCAATCCAATACCACCCTGTTGTGACTATTTTGTATGCTAGCAAGTGCACTAGTCGACAAGTAATATAATGATGAGTGAAGTATCGTATCCCACAAGGACTTATCGTAAACAAACATATAATTTAACTAATCCCAACTGTTATCTGAGATAGCGAAATTGGTGATGTGAATTTAAATTAAAATATTCACTAACTCATAACATTGTAAATTTTAACAGTCTAGTAACAGTTTATTAGGGGTGAACATGGATAAAGGATAGACCTGGAACTGACTGGTACCCTGACCGTCGGTTCTAGGTAAGAATAGGAACCGACCCTCATAGGATATGTTTCGGTTCTGAAAAATTGGAACCGAGAATTCTCGAGTCCAGTTCTGGTTCCTGTAGTGTTGGAACCAAAACTTACATTCGGGTACCCTGCTGGGAACCGGTTTAGGAACCAGGGGAGTATGTGTGAATTTTGTGAACAATCAGGGGTGTATTTGTAATTTTTAGGGTGTATTTATCATTTTTTAAATTAATAGGGGGTTATTAAATTTATAGGGTACCTGAGAAAGGAATTGAAACCTACATTTCAGGTTCCAGTTTCAGGAACCGAAGAACCGGAATAGTCGGTTTTAGTTCTTATTCCTTTTGCTAGGAACTGATCAGTTCTGGTTCCAGTTCCTAGCAATTTCGACGGGTACCCAGAACTGCTCACCCTTAGAGTTTATTAACGGCACGGGAATTTTTGTTATTATTGATACTTTAGAGAAATTTTTGTTATTATGTCATACTTCAGGAGGATTAATGTCATTAACTCAACTAAATATTTAAAAGTTCAAAATATAAAAAAATTAATAGATAGNGTAAATATTCAATCCGACACCACAAACCTTAACCACCGGCCTCCACTATATAAAACTCCTCTAACCCTAACACTTGGTAGCCCCCCATTCGCCCGCTGTGACTTGTGCATACCTTGATTTTGTTGGCCAAATTCTGGTTGATTTTGGCATCTAAAATTCAATCCAATACCACCCTGTTGTGACTATTTTGTATGCTAGCAAGTGCACTAGTCGACAAGTAATATAATGATGAGTGAAGTATCGTATCCCACAAGGACTTATCGTAAACAAACATATAATTTAACTAATCCCAACTGTTATCTGAGATAGCGAAATTGGTGATGTGAATTTAAATTAAAATATTCACTAACTCATAACATTGTAAATTTTAACAGTCTAGTAACAGTTTATTAGGGGTGAACATGGATAAAGGATAGACCTGGAACTGACTGGTACCCTGACCGTCGGTTCTAGGTAAGAATAGGAACCGACCCTCATAGGATATGTTTCGGTTCTGAAAAATTGGAACCGAGAATTCTCGAGTCCAGTTCTGGTTCCTGTAGTGTTGGAACCAAAACTTACATTCGGGTACCCTGCTGGGAACCGGTTTAGGAACCAGGGGAGTATGTGTGAATTTTGTGAACAATCAGGGGTGTATTTGTAATTTTTAGGGTGTATTTATCATTTTTTAAATTAATAGGGGGTTATTAAATTTATAGGGTACCTGAGAAAGGAATTGAAACCTACATTTCAGGTTCCAGTTTCAGGAACCGAAGAACCGGAATAGTCGGTTTTAGTTCTTATTCCTTTTGCTAGGAACTGATCAGTTCTGGTTCCAGTTCCTAGCAATTTCGACGGGTACCCAGAACTGCTCACCCTTAGAGTTTATTAACGGCACGGGAATTTTTGTTATTATTGATACTTTAGAGAAATTTTTGTTATTATGTCATACTTCAGGAGGATTAATGTCATTAACTCTACTAAATATTTAAAAGTTCAAAATATAAAAAAATTAATAGATAGTTGACATATAACTAATTTAATGTTATAATTAATAAGATAATTAGAATGGTTTTGATTTACTTTACTATATTGTTTTTACTGCTTTTTTTTTTTTTTTTTTTTAAATTTCAAGTGAAAAATTTTAAGATTGTGTTACATATTTATATTATATTTAATTTATTAACTTTTTAATTAATTATTCATGTGTAGAGTAATATGAGATATACAGCGTGATTTAA